TCAGCTGGTGTAAACTGTCATGGCAGGGGCACAGAGGTAATGGGGGAACAGAAATCACATCTTGGTGTGATGTTTGGTGGAGAGGTAGGGAAGGCATAGGGAAACTGGCTGTGCTGTTTGTAAAGAAACTGAACAGCCCTTACCCTTTGGAATCAATGCTGGGAAAGTAAATATATTTTTTTTTCTTTTTTTTTTTTTTTTTCCCGCCCCTTAGTTTTCTGGCAGCTTATTAATCAAAGCTGCCTCAGTGGCTTTTCCATTCTGCACTGTACTGAATGGTCAGGGCTGGGCCCGGACTCACTCTGCTGATAACTGGCTGAACATGCACAATCTGCATCAGGGTTTTACTTCTTCCTTTGCTGTCTGTCCTAATCCTGAAATGTCTGCCACTGTGATGATGGTTGCCAAAGAAAACTCTGGGTATATTTTGTGTACGTGTGTATCCCCCCACAAACACTTGGCTTTTTCAAATCAGGAAGCTTTTGAAGCTGTTCTCTTGAAGAGCAAATGTGACACTTGCACTGGCTAGATCTTATGAAGTGACAAATAATTGGGGCTGTGCCTTGTGTGGGTTCCCCCTCCCCCCCATTCCATGTATTGTTCAAATTCTGCATGATCTGTTTGCTGATGGCTCTTCAATAAAAGCCTTTTTAAAAAAATTGTTTGCGGGACAAACTATTCAAAACACAGAATGCAGCTATCCTCTTGGATCAGCCTAAAGCCTGATGCTGAGCTCAACAAGCCAGGTGCACTGGCCTTTCTGTAAGGCTTCCAAAACAGAGAAACTGCCCTGATTCATGAGACAGCATATTTGACGTTAATAAATGGCCGGGGCATTCCCCTCGTTTTCCAGCTTTGGCTTCATTCACACTGAATCCCTTCTTCAGAAAGGATTCTTTGCAGTTTAAAGGACAACTCCATTTCAGAAAGACTTGGGCAAGGCTTCTTGTCCCCAGACTCTTAAAATTCCAATTCTGTTGAAAAGTTTTCCCATCTTTGATATGCCCGGATAGTTGAGTATTTTCCTAAGACACCAGGTGGCCTTTTCTGTTTCCAGTCTCCTCCCATCCTCTGGGAACAAAGCAAACCCAACACTGAAATTTTATCTTTTAAAACACTCCTGTGCATCTTCCCAACAGAGTTCCTGGCATTCCCTCGTCTTGTGTTAAACATGGCATTTATGTTCAGACTCTACAATCTGAACCTCTCATGTTCTTGAACTTAAGAGACTATAGAGAATAAGGCCAGAGAAGAGCCACAGGAAGCAAAGGAATAGCTACATAGAACTGGCATTCAAGCTGTTGGCAATCCCTTTTCCAATAGTTTCTATTTTTCCAGTAGTTCCTATTTTTGGTACTCTCCTGTAAATATAGTGTACTTTGACATGGTGGCCTTGAATTTTTTTTTTTGAAACAAATAAAAATTGTTTTCTAATCAAGTGAGTTACGATGGTATTTCTAAAAACTTGACTGTATCTTCTTACATGTTAACTGGTGAATGGTAATATCCTGGTTTATTGCAAGGCAAGGAATGGAATCTGCAAAAGTAAATGTAAATTTGGGGTCAGGAATGGCTTGTAACTGCAAGCAAGAGCCTGGTCCAGCTGCTCCTGCTGATTGCTCAGGGTGCTGCTCCCAGTGCAAACTCTGGGGAAGATACTTCCATGTTGTATGAAGAAGGATGTCAGGCTATTTGTGTAATGGGCTGTGAATGGTCTGAATCAACAACCACTGTATATAATAATATATAGGAGTGGGCTTGTGTCTCCTCCTCTCTCCCCTGCTGGCTGACTTACTGTCTTGAGAAACAGCCGCTGCTTTGTTGTTTGGAAAACATTCTGTAGTTTCAAGCAGAATAAGTAACCTAAATTTTCATTCCTCTTCCCCCCCACCCCATAAGCAGAAAAAAAATTGCCTTTAATGAAACTCAAGGTGGCAGGTGTTGTGGTTTTTTTTTGAGTTTTGAGAAACTGCTTTTAAAACTGAACTGGTTTGGGATTTGTTGGGGTTTTGTGTGTGTTTGTTTTTTAATTTTATTCTTCCATTCAGTTTCTGTCTGTGAGACTCTGATTCTAGTGCACCTTGGGTCAGGTTCTTATTGCTTGGACCAGCTTCTGAATTAGGTGACTGGCTTTCTGTTGTTTTTAATTGTTCTTCCTTTTAACCTTTTTTTTTTTTTTTTCTCCCTGCAAGTTGAGTAGTTGAAACTTTAGCTCTCATTTACCTTAAGCATTCAGACTTCATCTCAACATAGAATCATATCATAGAATGTTTTGGGTTGGAAGGGACCCCTAGAGGTCATCTAGTCCAACCCCCAATATCTATGTGCGCATCTCTGTACGCTACCGAGGGCCTGTCTGCAGTGTTTCACTGCCTCATCTACACGTTACCTCTCCTGCTTGTATCACACAGGTGAGAGGAAAACGGGCCATGGGAAATGGCTGATTTCTCTTTCCAGGTATGTGACGATGGGCCATACTTATCTAAGGCTTATGTACATCCTTGGCATGTGTCATGAATGATTGGAAATCAAAAATGTGTGTTTCCTACTTACTGGGGGAAACACAGAAGGAAAAAGAATGAATGATTTGCTCAAAGCATGGATCTTACTGGTGAAACTGCAGTTTGTATTGATAAAAATGCATTAAAATCATGAAATGTGAGTTTCTGGAACTGGATTTTGTTTTGCAGGAACGTGGAATTTTTATCTCTTGGCAGATTTGGAGTTCTGCAAATAACATTGTCTTGTTTGTGCTTGACTGGTGGAGCGGGAGGAAAACTGGTTGAGGTAATCCTCAAGTCACGCACGCAGCAGTCGGGATGTCAGATGGTGAGCCTGCACTTCTTCGGTAGCTCCTCGTTCCAGAGGTTCAGCTGCCTGGTGAAGAGCAGGCGTGTGACCTGGTGGTTCTCCACTGGTGACCATGCTGAATGCAATCAAGCTAGCTGTAAAGGGGAAAAAAAAAATCCATTTTGTTTTTAGAAGTTAATTCCAGTCCCCAACACTCCCTGACCTGGCAAGCGGTTTTAACTGGGCTGTGTAGCCCAAAGAGTTAAATTGGGCAGGGCTGAGGCTGCAGAGTCTTGGGAGGGACCTAAAAAGCTTCTGCAGCTTGTTGTGTCTGTAGGTAATTTTAACTTTGAAGATCATCAAATATTGCACCACCAAAGGAGACTATAGAAAGGAAAGCCCCTCCAGGAACCTGGAACGTGGTTTCTAAATCACAAGAAAAGTGCGTGCAAAGTGAGAATCAGGTTTTGTCTCCCATGCTGTCTGTTCACCGAATACGTTGCAGACACATGTCAGTGTGCTTTAAATAAAAGGATTATTTTTTTTTCTACCTCCACTCTTAAAAAGAGCATTTAGCTGCTGTGAATCTCTTCTCTAAGGAGTGGGAAAGAATCATGAATGGCCCAAAGAGCTTTCTCTACGGTAAAGACTTTGCACGTTGACACTCGGCTCCTTTTTTTAGCTCCTTCCAGGACTAATGGTGGAATCATTGTGTCAGGAGGGTGCTGGGAAACGCATAAACTTGGGTTGGATCTTTCCCAGGGGATCGTGTACTCGAGTTTAGAGGAAAAAAATGAAAGATTTTTATGATGGTTTGGGGCTAAAAATAATGTCTTGAACTGCTCTGACTTGTGACCCGATGATACTTGCTCTCATGGCCTTGTACTTACAGTACTTACCCGTACTAAAAGACCATCGTGGGGACAGACTTTTCCTGTGTCAGAACAATAAAATAGGCCCTCGCGGAGCTGGGCAGTAACACGTCCGTCTCATCCTTCCAAAATATGCTGCTGCTCCTTAAACTAGAAATCTTTCAGAAGTCGAATCCGTGTATGTGATTTTTATCCCCTTGGAACCATCTGAATGATCACTGGGCAGGGCTGGTTTGAATGCCATTACACTTCTGTTGCTGCCCTTTGCAGTGATGCTGTCACTGGTGGGGATGTTTAGCGTGTTACAATAGCCTCGAGATTTTCTGTAACCTAGCCTCTTCGGTTTTAAATCAAAGCCTTGGTCTTACAAAACTGACTTTACAAATCCAGAGTTTTTAACACTGTCCGTGTTAAGGAACTAAAATGGCCTGTTTTGGCAGTGCGGATTAGCAGAGAACGTGTTACCCTGCGTTACCTGAGCAGTGGAGCAATGGCAAAAGATGCGAACGGAGGACGATACGTGGGATAAATTCACAGTACTTAAGTGCTTTTCAAAATTCCCCTTCTATTGTTTAAAAAAAACCTTGTTTTATTATTTTAAAGATGCTGGGCATCTGATGGCAGCTTCTGCTGACATCAATAGACTTGTTCTGTATTATTTTGATTCCTTGATCTCGCAGTGCTGCCTAGAGGTGCTGAGATGTGAGCCTTGAAGCCCCATGTCAGCCTTCCCACCCCCAGCCCAACTCATTTTCACCAGCAAATCTGAAACTATTTGATCCAGGTGCTTTAGGGCGGTTTGCTTCTCTGTGTCCTTTCAATAACACAAGCCCAATGAAGAAATTGCTTTAAGCATTAGTTCTACTGCTAACGGATAACTGTATTGCTAGGCTGAGCCTCGCCCAGGTGGGGACCTGCTCTGCAGCTGGAGGTCCCTCCGGTCCTGGGGCACGATGCAGAGACAGCAAACGCCCACAGCAGGGAAGAGCAGGAACATGGAGCTCCCTGTATCTGTGCTCTCCAAGGCAGTAATAAACTATGCCAGCCGTGGCTTATCTTGCTTTTGGATTTTGGGTGCCAGATGTGAACATTTGGGTGCCAGCTGGCTGTTGGGGTGCTTTGGGTGTAACACGTGGGCACCTCCATACTGGAAAATGTATTTTCCGTAGTCCTCGGTGCAGTATCTGAGGGCTTCCTCGGTGGGGAGCGAGGCGGGGGTGGCTGCTGCCCAGCTCTCGGGGGGCTTTCCCCTCCGCTGGTGATTTGCAAAATCTTTTAGTTCAATCCCCCAGTTTAGAAAGTAGGGGCAGTGA